TGGTTCTAGGGCCAACCTCAGGGTTCAACTCTACTCAAGATTGGCTTAAAAGAGGCTGCTCATGACCCCAAATCACCGTGTGTAGCTCCCTGGTGGTCCTTGGGCCAAGGGGCTGAGCTGGAGGAGACCCAGAGGCCTCCCTGAGATCCTGGCACACACATGGGTCCAACAACTCGCCCAGGGAGAACACAGCTTTCTGGGGCAGAGACCAGGAGAGGGGTTGTGAGAGTTAAAGATGTCAGCAACGTACGGTAGGGAGCTCAGGTGTGGAAATGTGAGGACTGGGAAGGCTGAGTAGTAGGAAGCTGCGGCTGAGGATTCAGAGAAGGGGATGCCGGGGCCTTTGGAGGAGGTTCAGCAAGGGCTGGGAAAGGAGTCTCGGTTGGATGTGCAGTCTGAGGGGCTGGGCTGAGGGTAGTGACAGAGAACTTGAAATTACTTCTGGAGTCAGAGACGGGCCCTCGCAAACCTGTAGTTTGGGGGTTTCTTACTGTGTGGCCAGAGCTTGGGGAAATCAGATGGGCCAAGGGGTCCTCCCTTCCTGGGCGGGAGAACGAGCAAACATCTGAGAGTAGCTGCAGGCTCAAGGAAAGGATAGAAGGGAATCACGACATGCAGAGCCAGAGGGTGGAGAATTCGGAGCACAAGGGGCGCAGGGTCCCTCCCTCCCGAGTCTGAGGTGCAGCAATGCACTTGCTTGCAACCTCCCGGGGCCCAAGGGAACGACTTGAGGGTCCGCTCCTGGGTGGAGAAGTCTGGGCCTGAAGGGGTCTGAGGGCTGATCTCTCCGTTCGGGGGGTCTGGGCGCAGAGTCCAGCTCAGCTCACTCCCCTCTGGTGGTCGCCGCCCAGGGATCGGATGGGTGGGCGGCGCAGCTAGTGGGGTCTTAACCCCAGGGTCCGAGGGAGCGGCTTGGGGCACCGCCCCTCCCAGGCCGGGGGCGGGGCGTGAGGAGGGGGCGCCCCGTACTCCGCCCCCGCCGGGAAGGGGCCCGCCTCGTGCCCCCGGTTCCGGTTCCGGTCCGGCCCGCGCCCCTCCCGGACACTCACTGATTCGCGCCTCCAGAGTCTCGGGCTCCATCTCCTGCTCCATCAGCCACGGGCCCCCAGCCTCGGCACCGCCCCCCGCTCCCCGCCGCTCTCGCGGGACCTCTTCGGCACCGCCCTCTGTCGATTAAAGGGGCAACGTCCGCCCCGACGCGCGGGAGCGGCGCACACGAGCGCTCGGCACCATAGAGATGAGAACGGGCTCACCTAGAGCGTCACCTGCTCTCCCAATCCCTCACCCAAGCGGCGTCTACGTCGCGGGTGGGACCTGCCGCCTGACTTCTCGTTCACGGCGCTTAAGCAGGAGAGGAAGCGGAGGAACTGGGGGCTGAGGACGGCACCATGGAAACCCCACGGGACGCTCTAACTCGTTCTGCGTCACGGAGACGCCTGTGATCGCTTCCGGAAGAACGCTCTGCGGCCATGTTTTTGAGGGGCTCTGAGGTCACTTCCGGAGCCCGGATGTGCTTCCTCTTAGGTGCCAAAGTGGGCAGGTCCCTTAATAGGGCAATGTTAGCCGCCTTGAAAATGACGAGGAGTCAGTTTGTTGATTTCTTACAGCGGTCCATGCATTGTTCTTAGCACTTTTTGTACATTAATACATTTAATTCTCACAAAAAACCCATGAGCCAGATAATTAGTTTGCCTGAGGTCACACAAGTGGTAGAACCTGAGCCCTGTAATCTCTCCTGCATTCATTCTGCAATGGAAAGGCAAAGTCAGACATTTATTACACAATGTAATGGGGGAAGCCCACCGGTAGTGGCAACACAGGAGGGGCCCCTACCCCAAACTGGGGGTGGGGGGTGGGGAATGAGGTAATAAATAGCCGAAAGGCATTCATATTAACATTTCTCCAGGTAAACCTGGTGCGCAAAGATATTCCAGGTGGAGGCAACCGAACATTTCAGGGCTCACGGGAGAAAGAGAATGATGAGTTCAGGGAATTGGAAGTATTTCAATACGGTTCCAAAGGATGTTGGCAGGAATTAGGCCGGGGCAAGAGCACACAATTCCTGTGTTTAGCTTTTATCCTGTAAGCTATGTTGGAGGTATCGTGCAGGAGTTTCACAAGTGGTGACAAAGTGAGGCTTTTGTTTGACAGAGGTCCAGGCAGCAGCTGGACAGAAGATGCTGGTGGGGGCCAGACTGAAATCAGGGAGGGCAGAATGACAGACTTCTCAACCTTGGTGCCTTTTCTCCTGCTGTTTCTCGCTCCAGCGAAGACCCTCCTCTTTTGCTTTTCCCACTCGCGGACCGGGACGCCTGGTGACGCCCAGGGGGAATCCGGTGCCTGGCTCACCTGGCTCTGTTGTAGTCCGTCGCCCCCTGGTGGCCCTCCGGGGAACCGGCCCGTGGATCCCTCTCTAGCCACCATGTCCCGGGGAGGGTTAAAGCGTGACGGAGACTAGGAAATCTGGCGAATCCAGTTCTGCTGGGCTGTGGCCTTGCGAACGACCTCGATTCACCTTGCAGAACCGCAGTGACCTCATCTGGAGATGAGAGGGTTGTGCTGGGACAGTATTTCCCCTAAACGCAACCATTCAGCTGAGTGGGAAGCATTTCTAAATTCTCCCCCGCGGGCCATTGAAGTTATACAGGAAAGGGATATGTATGTTTATTGCGTCTCTCAATAAAAGCTGTAACATAATATGAACCTAGAGCTCTTTTCGTTTGTTTCTTTTATTTATTTTTATTTTTATTATTATTTTTTTAGCTGAGCCATCCCGCCACCTGTTGGCAGCTCCGCGGCTGCTCAGCTCGGGCTGACTCGAACCACTGTTGCTCAGAGCTCAAACTCTTGAGCGAGCTCTTAACCAACTGAGTCACTCAGCCGGCCCCGTTTGTTTCTTTTATTGCTGAAATGAGTTATTACAGAAATAAAACATAAGCACATTTATCTCATTGATTTAGGGGTATATACACGCTGTTAGGAGTCACTTTTTAAAAATAGCATATATTTGACCTGGGTTCAAATTCTGCCTTCACTGCTTACTAAATCGTATGGCCGGCCTTTGGTTAGGCTTCTTATCTGAATGAAACATGGTTGTGAGACTTCAATGACAGGGTGTATGCAAAGTGAAGCCCCCAACGCATGCTCCCTACCCATTTTCTCTGCTGAGCTTTTCTCCTCAGCACTTATCGTCACCTTTCTATATCGTGGTTTTGTTTGTTTGTTTGTTTGTTTGTCTCTCTCCCCCACCACAATGTTAAGATCTGTGAGGGCAAGGCATTTCATCTATTTGGTTCACTGATGGATCCCCGAGGCTTGAAAGAGTAGCTGGCATGTCGTAGGTGTTCAACTAAATGAAGGAGTAGAAACTATTATTCGTAAGTTTTATGGCTAGAGGGGTGCAGGAATGCGCCCAACAGTGCACAAGCGAGGGTGTGTGTATGTGTGCATGCACATGCACTCCAAGTTGTGCTCTTAACCAAGGCTCCGGACTGTGCCTTAGGAAGTCCTGGAGAGTAGGGGTTGGTGAAGGAGACTCATGAGCTGTGGCTATGCAGGTAGGGCCTAGCCCAGACTGGGGGTCAGGGTAGAAGTTGTAGAAGAAAGAACTTGAAGATGGTGAAGAAAGGAGGACCAACACAGGAAACAGGAAATGCAGTAATTTGACCTGTGGCCCCTGTTCCCATCTCCATCATTTGCAAATGTGTTGCTCTGAGTGACTTGGGCACCCCTGGGAGGGAAGGGGCAAGTAAAGCGGAGCCATCCTTGAAACAGCTATAATCAATTAACCCATGCTGACCTCCAATGGCTTAATGCCTCAGACCCTTCCCAGGAAAAGCCCTCCAACACTGGAAATACTGGTGAGGATGGGTAGGGGAAGAGTAAGAGGAGATGGGGAAAGAACCTGGAGGAGAGCTATGTGGGAGGGCACCCAATCCTTTCTTGGGGGAATTGTAGAAAGTCCAGGGAACAGGCTGAGATGTGGCCTCAACTCCAGCCCCTGTGACCTCAGCCAGATCCTGGCTCATGTCTCCCGTACAGGAAGACCCTTGGCGGTGAGGGCACAAAGGCGCATGGCTGTCATTTTCTCCTAATCCTCACACAGACCTCAGAATAGGGTATTATTTTCTGTTTTACAGATTCTGAGGCCCTATGTGAGGATGTGGTTGGCCAAGGCCCTTATAGAGCCTCCATCACAAGAGCCCACATAAGACCACATCCTTGCCTTTAAAGGACAAAAGCAAACAAAACACAACAAGATAATTACAAGGGTACCCAAATGGCTGGTGTGAGGGGAGTGGAGGCCATGTGTGGAGTGGCCCTGGCAGACCTTTTGGAGGAGTTGACGTTTAAGCTGAGAAGGAGCCAGCTGTAGGAAGAGTGTCCAGGCAGCGAGAACAGCAAGTGCAAAGGTCTTGAGGTCAGCTAAGAAGATAAGAGCCAGAATTTGAACTCAAGCTTGAGTCTCTGCACCCAGAGTCTGTACTTGGTCCCAGGAAACATGATTTCAGGTGCCACTTGCTGACTGAGGAGAAAGCAGACATTGGAAAGATGGTAGAGTACATGGAATATATGAGGTCTGACAATTAAATTCACAAACTTGTTGCAACAATGTTGCTAACTTTTTTGATATCAGATAACCTTTTATTGATATCAAATTCATTATGAATTTGTACCAACTGGACAGTTAACCAAGTTTACTATTTTGAAGTGCTGAAAGGCGACGTCAAAAAGTTAGATGACATAAACTTTTTGCCAACAATTCATGGCTTTTGCATCATGACAATATACCAGCTCACATGGCACTGTCTGTGAAGAAGTGTTTTCCAGTCAACGAATAACTGTACTGGAACACCCTCCCTACCCACCTGATCTGGCCCCCAACGACTTCTTTCTTTACCCAAAGATAAAGAAAATATTGAAAGGAAGACATTTTGATGACATTCAGGACATCAAGGGTAATATGATGACAGCTCTGATGGCCATTCCAATAAAAGAGTTTCAAAATTGCTTTGAAGGGTGAACTAGGTGCTGGTGTCGGTGCATAGCTCCCCAAGGGGAGTACTTTGAAGGTGACCATAGTGATATTCAGCAATGAGGTATGTAGCACTTTTTCTAGGATGAGTCCGCGAACTTAATTATCCACATTATATGTTCACTCCTTATGTATGTGTGCAGGGACAAGGAGGGTGCTCATATTTCTGAATCAGAACTAGGTCACATTGTATAAGGAAGATTATTGCCCTGATTTATTAATTTACATAAATGAAAAGGCTCACAAAGTATTACAATTTAGCTTTATTTCTCTGTACATTTAATAAATTATCGTTATTGAAAATAATGACCTTTTAGGTGGAAGGAAATGAAAATTCAGGTCAAATACAAATGCCTCTATTACATACCATGATCTAACTGATTGTTTGCGATTAAGGCTTTCCCAGAAAATCTGGGGTGCCTGAAACAATGGGACAGCAGAAATAAGACTTGGTTCAAGGGAGATTGGGTCGTTTCTTGTGTGGAGGGAGAGGACTGAGGCCACTGGAGAAGTGAACTTGTTCATTGGGCTTTTCCATGCTCTGGGTGGGGGGTGGGGCTGGGTGAGAACCTCCCTTGTGACGGATTGTTTTACCACCTTTGCTCAGATTCCATGAAAAAGATGATTTGCTACCAGTATTGACTGACCTGCTGTGTGCTATGACTTTTTTTTTTTTAAGATTTTTATTGGGGAATTGGGGGATGGGAATAGCGCGGGGAATTGAGGGGAGGGGAACAGACAAGTTGCTGTCCTTTTGTTCTTCAGTCTAGTTGTGGAGGATGTTGCTTCACTGGCCCAAGTTGGCACCATCATTGTGCTCTTCCCGGGGGAGGCAGATCAGTCGCCCCGGCTTCTGGACAGCCGCTCACACTGGCTCCTGGCTACACACGGTAGCCCATGGCAACCCACTGCAGCAGGGTCTTCAGCCTACGCTGACCCCAGCGATTCATGGCAGCCCAGCTCCAGGTTGAGCTGTTGTTCAGCACCTTAGCTGTAGAGGGCAGTGTCACTGGCCCTCATATGTGGGATATCCGAACCGTCCCAAGCCAGCTCTTAACCAATGTGCCACTTGGTCGGCCCTGCCATGACTTTCACATATTAATTTATATCATGTTTTTTTTTTAATTTATTTATTTTTTTAAAGATTTTTATTGGGGAATTGGGGGGATGGGAACAGTGCTGGGGAATTGAGGGAAGGGGAACAGACAAGTTGCTGTCATTTTTGTTCTTCAGTCTAGTTGTGGAGGATGTTGCTTCACTGGCCCAAGTTGGCACCGTCATTGCGCTCTTCCCTGGTGAGGCAGATCAGGCGCCGGCTTCTGGACGGCCGCTCACTGCGGCTGCTGGCCGCTCACGCTGGCTGCTGGCTACACACGGTAGCCCATGGCAACCCACTGCCACAGGGGCTGCAGCCTACGCCGTCGCCGGCAACTCAAGGCAGCCCAGCTCCAG